CATAAGGTGTCCTTTCCCACACTGACACCTCCTGCACCCTGTGGTCCAAGCGCCCGGCCTGGCTCCTGGCCCCTGCTCCTGGCCCCTCCACACTGGCCGCCTCCGTGTCACCTGAGATATGGGCCAGAATGGACTGTGTTGCCTTCAGAACCCAGAAAGGCCTAAGGCCCTGTGCTTCCTCCTTTGGGGGGTGCAAGATGCAGCAGTGAATTTTACATTGGGGGGATGTCCCAGCACACCCCTGACCACCAGACCCCTATGAACTTCCTTGGGTCTACACAGCGCTCAGCTCCCACCCTTGAGACACACAGTTTTATGGCCAGCATACTCGGCTCCTCTCACCTGTCCTCTTCAGTCAGCATGATGTCGTCACTAACGATCTGTCCTGTGTCCTGTGGGATGTCCAGGTGGTCCAGGTCTCCTCGGACTGTATAAGGACAGAGCGGGAGTTAACACAGCCCTGAAGCCAACCGCAAAGGTGTATTGCTGTCCCACCCATGAACCGAAATCCTAATCCTCTTTTCTAAATGGGATGAAGAAGAATGTGACTGCCAATCAATGACCTTATTAATCTGCCCTGGGCCTCAGGGTCACTCTCCAGGATCTGATGTTTCTCTGCAAAGCCCAGGCTAGCTCTTGACCACACAGAGACATGGCGACCTACCACACCCCAGGCCTCGAGCTCCAGGGACGCCAGGCTGTTTGGTTTTCCTTCCAAGCTGTGGAGTGGGGCAGTGTTCAAGGCTTGCCCTTGGGCATCTCTCCTATAATGCCTTCGAGTACACAGGCCAGGATCCCGGTGTGCGGGTACATTACACACTTGGGGACGCTGAGTGGTCTGTTGACTCAGGCACCCACCGTGACCAACACTTCAGCCAGGATTCCTTTTACTACTTGGCCCCTCCTCCAACAGGGCTGCCGTGATGACATTTTGGGTCTCCAGGAGTCACTGTCCCCTCAGGTTCTGGGTCCAGTTGTCCTCAAAATGTCTTGACAGCTCTGGCTGGGTTGCTCAATGGTTAGCTCATTCGCCCTTGGACTGAGGGATCTCAGGTTCAATTCTGGCCAATGGCACGTACCTCTGTTGCAGGCTCCAACCCCGGCCCTAGTTGGGGTGCATGCAGGAGGCAACTAATCAATCTGTCTCTCTCTTGTTGATGTTTCTCTCTCTCCCAGCTCCTTCCACTCTCTGAAAAATCAGTGGGGGAAATATCCGCAGATGTGGATTAACCTGACAGTATATATATATCCTGACAGTCCCTTCCCCCTTGTTCAGTCACCCAGTAAATGCTGTAGGTCTCTTCGGGGGGAGAACTGGGGTATATCACAGTACATGTGTGTAGGGTTATGCCCTAACGTCAACACTTCCGAGTGGGAAAATTAGCTCTAATCCCAGAACAGTGTCTTCTTAGCAGAGCCCCTGCCTCTACATTCCTCCTTGGCCACCTACCAGAGCAGTTGTGCATGTCCACGCTGCTGGGCACGGGCCATCACCTCCCCCAGAACTGAGTTTGCTCATGGCCTGAGAGCTTGCCAGGCGATTAAATTCCATATTCCGAGAAAGTGCCTCCGAGTGAATAATGCTAGCTTCCCAACTTCTGCTCGGTGACCCCACTTCCTTCCCCAGGGGCTCCCCTGCCTCCTGCAGTTGTGTGCTGGCAGCTCCTTGCTTCCCTGATCGGGCCCACAACGTCCCCATCCAGGTTACTCTGGCCTGGCTTGCTGTCACTGGCCTGCCAGCCAGAGGACAGGGTGGGGCGGCATCTGGTGAGGCACCCGGTGCCTTGCGGGGCGGGGGACTCAGCATCTCCCAGCACAGAGGAAGGGCTGGCTCTTACAAAGGCCTGAGAGCTCAGGGGCCTACAGATCCTGGTCCTCAGGCTTCCACGGGAATGTCCTGGTCCGTGTTTTAGAATCTCAGGTTAGCCCAGCCGGGCTCCTGAGCTTCGCAGCCCAGCGTGGGCGAGCATTCAAACGCCTGGAGCTGGAGCCCTCTCATCACGTCCTCAGCTGCAAACGGGATTTCCCTTCAGGCCAAAGAGGCCTGCGGTCCTCACGCTGGGCCCCTCACTGCTGGTCACCCGCATTGGTCTCCCTCATCCCGCTGCAGGGCCCTCCGTGCAACTCAGCAGCCAACCCACTGCCCCCTTCACACACCTGAGTCCTCCTACCAGCAAGCTGCTCCCTCCCCCGGGGAGGGCGTCCCAGGTCACCCTTGATGAAGTCAACAATTGGGCCTCGCCGAAACCGGTTTGGCTCAGTGGATAGAGTGTAGGCCTGCGGACTGGAAGGTCCTGGGTTCAATTCCGGTCAAGGGCATGTACCTTGGTTGCGGGCACATCCGCAGTGAGGGGTGTGCAGGAGGCAGCGGATCGATGATTCTCTCTCATCGATGTTTCTAACTCTCTATCCCTCTCTCTTCCTCTCTGTGAAAAATAAATAAATAAATAAATAAAAATTAAAAAAAAAAAAAAATATATATATATATATATATATATATATATATACACATATATATTTTTTTTTTAATTGGGCCTCCACCTGGTGCTAGGAACTACCTGTACCTCCCCCACCAAGGACGGCAGCCCCTTCACCTGTGGGTGAGATGCAGGAATCCCCTCCTGCGCTCCATGTCCACTGGGCTTCTCTGGGAAGGAGGAGGGGCTGGATCTCATTAAAGATCTAGGGGGCAAAGGCTGTGTAGGATCAGGGCAGGGCATGGTGGAGGAGCCTACAGACCACAGGGGAGAGCCCTGTGAAGGACCGGGTGGAGGGAAGGTGAGGGCTGGGTGGGAGGAGCAGCAGGCTGATGGGAGCACCTGGAGCCAAATGAATCCCTAATGGAAGGAGCTGGCCTGTCTTTCTACCCCTGGAACCCCTATGGGAAGCGCCTTGAGAGGGCAGGTTCATGCAGAGGGCAGCACACAGGCCTCAGTCAGCGGGCCCAGCAGAGAATAGCCATCATCAGGCTACCGCACTCATGCACATGCACATGCATACATAGACACACCTGCACTCACGCTACCAGGTGCATGCACACACACTGACACATTCACACATGTATCTACACGCACACACCCTCTCCAGTGCCCCCTGGTTCCAGGCCCCCACTGCCCACAGGAAAGGCGCTGTGGCCGAGGAGACCAGTGGCTGGTGCCCAGGGAAGGGGGGGCAGTGGAAAGCAGAGTGGGTGCTGATGGGTGTCCAGCCTGCGGGGGTCTGGGAGCTGGACCCCGTGGGAGGCCGTGTGCAGGACAGACTTGCAGGACTTTGGACATCAGAGCAGGGCGCCTGTCCTGGGGCTGCAGGGGCAGTCTGTCCCTCCTCCCCCAGGAAGTCGCTCCCCCTCGGCTTGAACTGCCATACTGCTTCACTAAGAACACAGTTCCTCCACAGACCCCTGCCTTCGGCACCTTACTATCTGGCCAGGAGATGGGAAGTGGGGTGGCGAGAATCAGAGCCCACATGGAAGGTGTTCGGGAAGATCAGAGGATGTACATGCATGGACACTCCCCCTCCGCCCCGCCAGGGCACACTCAGGTGACCAGGAAGCTCTGGGGTCTCTCGCCTTTTTTGGGGGGGAGGGATGGGGAGAGACTCAATCAGAGATTTTCAAGGCTGCTCATCTGAGGCTGGAGCTGCATGGTATTGCCGCTCCCCCCGCCTTAGCCTTCCCCCAAGGATCCGGTGACGTGGCTCTGTCCCATTGCCCAGGCACTAGCCCCCAGTCCTGCCAACATCCCATTTCAAAGAGAAGCCCTGGGCCTGGGGCCTTGCCACCCTCCTCTCCTGGATCCTCTCAGGTAGAACATCACAGTGGCCTCAGAGTCCAGCGCCAAGGGTACCTGTGGGGTTTTTGCAAGGAAGAGGGTCCTCCCTCCCCACACCACGCACCTGAGGCTTTAGCTGTCCTGGTGGCCCTGGCCTCTCCCAGCCAGCCCTACCCTCTAATCCGGCTCTGTCACCCTCTGCGCAGGGCTGAGCCCACCAGGGGCACGTGTTCTGACTGGTGGCCTTGCAGGAGCTGTCCCAGAAGGAAGGCTGGAAGCCCACTGTGCCTGATCCGGGGGCACTAGGCAGGGGGCACTAGGCAGGGGGCACTGAGCAGGGGGAAGTAAGCAGAGGGCAGTGAGCAGGGGGCACTGAGCTGGGGGCACTGAGCTGGGGACACTGAGCTGGGGGCACTGAGCAGGGGGCACTGAGCAGGGGGCACTGAGCGGGGGGCACTGAGCAGGGGGCACTGAGCAGAGGGCAGTGAGCAGAGGGCACTGAGCTGGAGGCACTGAGCAGGGGGCACTGAGCAGGGGGCACTGAGCTGGGGCACTGAGCGGGGGACACAGAGCGGGGGGACAGTGAGCAGAGGGCAGTGAGCTGGGGGCAGTGAGCTGGGGGCACTGAGGGGGCGGGGCACTGAGCTGGGAGCACTGAACAGAGGGCAGTGAGCAGAGGGCACTGAGCTGGAGGCACTGAGCAGGGGGCACTGAGCTGGGGCACTGAGCAGAGGGCACTGAGGGGGGGGCACTGAGCTGAGGACACTGAGCAGAGGGCAGTGAGCAGAGGGCACTGAGCTGGAGGCACTGAGCAGGGGGCACTGAGCAGGGGGCACTGAGCAGGGGGAACGCTAACGGGGCAGTGGGATGGGGTTTGAGCTGGGGGACGCAGCTTCTTGGAGGAGGAGCGCTGGTCTCCCCTCTTTGGCCCTCGGTGCAGGGTGTGGTCCCCACCCCACCCCCTTCCCCCAGTGAGCGGCAGGGGAGTGGGGCGGGGACAGCCGGGCGGAGGGATGGGGGAGGGCCTCTGGCTCTGCCCAGGACTGCGTCTGAAGAGAGGGCAGCGCCCCACCCTCGCGGCGTCTGGGCTGGGGGTGGCTCTCCCGCCCCCACTCCCTCCGGTCTCCTGGACTCTCCCTTTTGTCCCCCTGCCCGCCCGCCCCCACCAGCCCATCCGCGGGCCCGCAGCGCCCCCCGGTGGCCGCGCGCCGGGGGCGGGCAGGGAGGGGGCCGGGAGGGGGCCGGGAGGGGCGGGGCGGTATAAAGCCGGGGCCCCTCCCGCGTCCCCTCCCTCCTGCCCACTCGGCGCGGCTCTCCGCGCTCGGACCCGATCCTCGATCCTCGGACGTGCACGGCGAGGGCGCCCCGCGCTCGGGGTCAGGTAAGCGCCCTCAGACCCTGGGCCCGGGACCCGCCGGGGGGACCTGAGGTCGGGCCCCGGAGCCCGGAGCCCGGAGCCCGGAGCCCGGGCAGCCCGCCCGCCGGGAGCGCGTCCTGCTGGCTGCCAGGTCCTGCTGGACGGGACGGGACGGGACAGTGCGGGTCGGAGGACCCGGTCCGCGGGCGCCCCGGGCGGGCGGGCGGGCTCTCTGGGGCGGCGCCCCGACAGCGCTCCCCGCGGTAACGGCCCCCCTTCGCGGCCCCGTTTCCACCGCTGGACCTTGGATCGCAGCTCCTGGCGTCCACTCCTTAGCTACCTCGCTCGGCTGGGGGGCAGGGGGTGCCGAGTTGGGTACTGTCTCCACTTTGGCCTCCTCTGGGACAGAGTTGGGGATGGGGCTTCCTCCCTCTTCCTGGCTCCCGGCTAAGACGCTGGCTAAGACGCTGCCCTTCGGGCTGTCTGCCGGGGCCTCACCCCGTTACTCCAAAGCTACACAGCGTCTGCAGGCAGGCCCATGCCCATGCGGGGCCCTGGCACATCTGTGGCCTGGAGGACACCGTCGGAGGGATTCAGGCTCCTGTCGCTCCTGGGAAGTTTTCCCTTTGGTGTGGAGCTGGGCAACAGGGTCTCCAGGGGTGCTGGCCCTCTCCCCGGGGCTGAGGGAGAGGGCACCCCTCCTCCTGGAAAGAGTGGCCAGGGGGGTAAGGAGTGGGGGAGGGGGAGAAGCAGGGGAGGTGGGGTTCTCAGACACCCCAAAGGTAGAAACAAGGCGGGGGAGTGGGGACAAGTCACACTTCCCCACCCTCAGTATCAGTAAGAACCCAGCCCTCCCCCCATTCCCTGAGGTTGGAGGTGCCCTCTACACCCCTGCCTCCCCCCTCAAAGTCTTCCGGGGAGACAAGCAGGGGGCCGAATGGTCGCAGCAGGGAGTGAGTTGGGAGCCCAGCTGGTCTCACCAGTGGTGGCTTCCCATGCAAAGCGGGCCCTGCCCCAGCCAGCACCCCTCATCCCACCCATCCAGCGGAACTCCAGAGGCCAGCACCCTCAGGGCATGGGGCGGAGGGGGTGTCAACCCCTGAGAGGCCTACTGACCCTCCTTACTTAGTAACAACACAAAACCGCAGGATGTGGCTGCGGCTCTGGTCTTCCCTCTCCACCCAGTGCTCACCCGTCGTGGCTCCTGTACCCAGAAAAGAGACTGCAGGCTCCCGCGCCCACACCCCTGGTCTAAGCCGCTGTCCCAGTGGAGGGGAACTGCACGTTTCGATGGACACCCAAAAAGGAGGAGGCTTGGGACCCACAGATTTCCCTCATTTTTTTCCTTTTAAAAGCGTTCTGACCAAGAGGCCATCTTATATTGGTTTAAGATCCACGGCCAGGAGGTGGGGGACTAGAAGGGGGGGGTGGGGGCAGGAGGCGGGGGACCGGCATGGAGGGCTCCAGGAGGGAAGGCCTCTGCCTGGCCTCAGTCACTCGGAGAAAGGAGAGTGGGACTGGGCCCCCGGGCAAACGTGACTCAGACTCTCCTGGCCAGACTGGCGGGGCTGGGCACCCGGGGCCCAGGTGTGTCCCCGGGGCTGGACATGGGTTGATTTGGCCTCTGGGTCTGTCGGGCAGCTCTCAGCTGCCGTGCTGTGTGAAGTGACCTGAAAGGCCCGGGAAGACCACAGCTGGTTGGGGCAATTGTTGGGCTCATCTGCCTGGTCGGGAGGGACACAGGCCCCTGCACACCCACGCCCAAAGGTGACTCTGCTTAGCCAGCCAGCAGGAGGGAGCTGCGCAGGCTTCCCATCTGCAGAATGAGGTCAGGGTTAATAGTACTTGCCCTTTTCCCTGTGGGGCTGCTTTTCTCAGGGGTCTCCTGGTGCCTGGGGTGTAGATAGGTCATGTTTGCAGCCACAAAAGACTTTAATGCTGGCGGGGAGAAATGGGCTCTGAGGATTGTCTTAAACAGTTTGATTCCTTTTAAAAATTTCAACGGGTCCGTCTCTCTTGTGGCTCCTACTGAACATTCATACAAAGCAGGGTTCATCAGCTCAGTTGGGTTCAAGCCATATCATAAAGCAACATCCTCCACACACCCGCCAGGACCTGAAGCATGTCCACACCCAGGCCACACGGTGGGCCAGCCGCGTGGTGGCGCATTGCTGACACTGTGATGAGCAGGCGGAGGGCGGGGACCCCGGCTGTGAGAGGCCCCTACTCCCTACTTCTGAAAGGTGTCGAGGCTTTCAAGGCGGTTGTCAGACACCCGCCCAGAGACGTGGAGAAGCGGCCGGATGTCTGTCACCAGGGACAGACGGGGGGCCGTGTTGCTGTCTCTTATTTGCCCGTTTCATGGATGAGGAACGGTGTCTGGTTGGCCTGTGTGAGTTCTTGGTTTTTGGGAGGTTCCAGATTTTTGATCACTGACTGTTGGTTGGTACTTCTTGCCAGGTTATGATTTTCCCATTTGTCTCATGAGTGCTTACTTTCACTAATATGCAAGAACTTTTTCCCTCCAGTCTTTAAAAAATTGTGGTAAAATACACATAACATAAAATGTACTGTCTTAGCCATTGTAAGTGTACATACCCTGAGTGGCCAGATTATTATGATCTCTGAACACATAATAATCTGGCCACTCAGAGTGTGTGTGTACATATACATACAATTCGTGCACAGTGCGGGAAGGAGGGTGTCCCTCAGCCCAGCTTGCACCCTCTCCAATCTGGGACCCCTCAAGGGCAATCAGACATCCCTCTCACAATCCAGGACTACTGGCTCCCAACTGCTCTCCTGCCTGCCTTCCTGATTGCCCCTAACTGCTTCTGCCATCAGCCTGATCACTCCCTAACCACTCCCATGCCAGCCTGATCAATGCCTAACTGCTCCCCTGCCAGTCTGTTTGCCTCTAACTGCCCTCCCTTGCAGGCCTGGTCACCCCTAACTGCCCTTTCCTACAGGCATGGTCCCCTGCCAACTGCTCTCCCCTGTAGGCCTGGGCCACCAACCCCCACACACAACACCCTTCCCTGCAGGCCCAATCGCCCTAAACTTCCCACCTCTGCTGGCCTAATCGCCCACAACTGCCCTCCCCTGTAGGCCTGATCCCTCCCAACTGCCCTTTCCTGCTGGCCATTTTGTGGCAGCCATCTTGTGTCCACATGGGGGCAGCCATCTTGTGTATTGGAGTGATGGTCAATTTGCATAATACTATTTTATTAGATAGGATTTATTAGAGGCCCAGTGCATAAATTCATGCATGGGTAGGATCCTGCCAGCCTGGCCAGGGGGAGGGAACATGGGCAGCTGGCCAGCCTACCTGCTGGTTGAACTCCTGGTCGAGGGGACAATTTGCATATTAGCCTTTTATTATATAGGATATACAATGAGTGGCCATATTATTATGAGTGGCCAGATTATCATATGCCCATCACTACATGGATCTCCACAATTCTTTTCATTTCACAAAACTGAAATCTGTTCCCATGAAACACTTAACTTCCCATTCTCTCCCCATCCCCTGGCAGCCACCATTCTACCTCCTGGCTCTATGATACTAAATATCTCATGTGATTGGAATCTTACAGTATTTGTCTTTTCGTGACTGGTTTGTTTTATGAGTATAATTTCTTTAAGGTTTATCCATGCTCTAGTATGTGTCAGAATCTCCTTCCCTTTTAAGGCTGAATAATATTTCATTGTAGAAATGTTATTATAATATACTACAATATATTATACTTATCCATTCATCCATCAATGGACACTTATGTTGCTTCCATGTTTTACCCATTGTGCATAGTGCTGCTATGAATATGGGTGTATAAATATCTCTTTGAAACCCTGCTCTGAATTCTTTTGAGTGGAATTATACCCAGAAGTGAAATTGCTGGATCATATGGTAAATCCACTTTTATTTTTTTTTAAGGAACCACCATACTGTTTTCTACAATAGCTCTAATGTTTTACGTTCCCACCAAACAATTCCAGTTTCTCTGAATCCTCCTCAACACTTTTTATTTTCTGTATTTTTTTAATAGTAGCCATCCTAATGAGTGTGATGTGGCATCTCATAATTTTGATTTGCATTTCCCTAATTAGTAACGTTGAGCATCTTTTTGTGTGCTTATTGGCCATTAATTCTTTTTTTAAGAAATGTCTATTTTAAGTCCTTAACCCATTTTTGAATTGTGTTGTTTGGGGATTTTTTTGACATTGATTTGTAGCTCTCTATATATTATGGATACTAATCCCTTATCATAAAAATGATTTGCAAATATTATTTCATATTTTGTAGGTTGCTTTTTGAGTCACAATTTTTAAAAATTTTTTATGAAGTCCAATTTGTCTGTCTTTTTAGTTGCTTGTGCTCTTTGTGTTATATCCTAGAAATCATTGCCAAATTGAATGTTGTGAAGATTTTGCCCAGTGTTTTCTTCTAAATTTTTATAGATTTTACATTAAGCCACAGCCATTTTGAGTTCATTTTTATGTATGGTGTTAGATAAGATTCCAACTTCATTCATTTGCATATGGATATCCAGTTTTCCTAGCTGAAAATCATATATATATGAATGATTTCTGGACTCTATTCTGTTCCATTGGTCTGTTATCTGTCTTTAAGCCATTACCACACTATTTTAATTATCATAGCTTTATAATAAGTTTTGAAATCAGAAAGTATGAGTTCTTCAGCTTTGTTCTTGTCTTTTAGGATTGTTTGTGCTATTTGAAGTCTTTTGAAATTCCTTTTGAATTTTAGGATGGATTTTTCCATTTCTGTAAAAATCAACATTGACATTTTGGTAAAGATTGCATTAAATCTTTAAATCACTTTGGTAGTATTGACATCTTAATATTAAGCCTTTTAATCCATGAACATGGAATATCTTTCCATTTATCTGTGTCCCTCAGGAATGTTTTATAGTTTTCAGTGAATAAGTATTTCACTTCCTGGGTAAAGGTAATTAATTCCTAAGTATTTTATTATTTTGATGCTAATGTAAATGGAATTGTTTTCTTAGTTTGCTTTTTGCATTGTTTATTGTTAGTGCACAAAACTGCAACTGATTTTTGAGTGTTGACTTTGTATCCTGCTACTTTGCTGAATTTATTTATTCTAAGTTTCTTTTTGTGATATCTTCAGGATTTTCTACATATAAGATCATAACATCTGTAAACAGATTATTTTATCTCATCCTTGCAATTTGAATGCTTTTTATTTCTTTTTCTTGCCTAATTGCTTGGGGTAGGGCTTCTAATACTATGTTGAGTAGAAGTGACAAAAGTAGGCATCTTTGCCATGCTCCCAATCATAAAGGAAAAGCTTTCAGTCTCTCACCATTGAGTATGTTTGTTATGAAATTTTCATTTATGGCTTTTCTTACGTTATTTTTAGTTTGTTGAGTGTTTTTATCATAAAAAGGTGTTGAATTTTATCACAAAATTTTTTTCTGTGTCAATTGAGATGATTGAGTGTTTTCCCTTCATTCTGTTAATGTGATGTATTTCATTGATAGATTGTTATACATTGAACCATCCTTGCATTCCAGAAATAAATCCCACTTGGTCATGATGTTTAACACTTTCACTATCCTACTGAATTCTGTTTGCTGAAATTTTATTGAGTATTTTAGTACCAATGTTCACAAGGGATACTGGTTTGTCATTTTCTTGTAGCGTCTTTATCTGACTTTAGTATAAGGAGGATAATATTAGCCTTCTAGGATGACTTAGGGAGTATTCCCTCCTCTTCCATTGAAGTTTGGTGAATTGAAAAGTGAAAGTTTGAGGAGTATTGGTGTTAATTTTTCTTTAAATGTTTGGTTAAATTCACCAGTGAAGCCATCATGTCCAGGGCTTTTCTTTGTCAGGAGATTTTCAATTACTGACTCTACATCCTTACTACCTATAGATCAGCTCAGAATACCTATTTCTTCATGGTTTGGTCTTTAGAGGTTGTGGAATTTGTCCATTTTATCTAGGTTACTTGATTTGTTGGCTTACAGTTACTTATAATACTCTCTTACAACCCATTTTATTTCTGTTGAATCCATAGGAAAGCCCCTACTGGATTCAGACCTCAGCTATTAGCTGAACACCTTGGACAAGTTACTTACACTTACTCTCAGTTTCCTTGGCTATGAAATAGTATTATAATAGTACCTATATCCGAGGACTGTTGTTAAGTGCTAAACTGTATATTTTTTTAAAAATGTAACATGATTTTCTATTAATGTAACTTACATTAATATATTTCTTAGTGTTGCGTCATTGTATTGTATTTTTAACTAAATCTTTGTTCTGGTAGAGTGGTTCTTAATATGCTACTGGATTTTATTTTCTAACTAGAGGCCCAGTGCACAAAATTCATGCACATGTGGGGGTGTCCCTCAGGCCAACCTGCACCCTCTCCAATCTGGGAGCCCTCAGGGGATGTCCTACTGATGGCTTAGGCCTGCACATCCTGGTTCTCTGCTCTCTGTGGACCTGCCTGATTGACGCCATCACAGGCCCTGGTGTCTGCTCTCTGTGGGAGCTCTGAGGAGGAGCTGTCTACCACAGAGACAGAATTATTTTTCCGTTTAGGTGTTTTCTGTATTTTTTCATTGCTATTGTGTTATTCCCTATCTAAATATTTTTGAAATTTTTCCTTACAATTGTATTGTAATGAAAATTTCTTTCTTTGAGTTAGAGCAAAAAGTAAGATTTTCTCCCAGTACACTTTATTATGTGGGCCTCTTTTAATTTAGGAAGTGTGTGATGTGTATATGGTGTGTGTGTGTGTGATGTGTATATGGGGTGTGTGTGTGTGTGTGTTGTGTGTTGTGTTGGGGCAGGGTGCAGTCTTTCTGGCCCCTTGGTTCTCTCCTCCCCCACCTGCAGTAGACGATCAGGGTGGGACGCACGGCGCCCCCACTGGGTCTCTCCCCCTCGGGGGCAGCAGGGTGAAGGGTAGTGGGGGACAGAGCTGGGCCCACATTCAGTGTTCAGCTGTAAGCGGCCTCCCTGATGAAGGTCCCACAGTGGCCATCACCAGTGGTTGATGTCTCTGGACCCGTTGGTTCTGACTGTCCCAGCCCGACTCCCTCTGGCTTCCAGGTTCTTCAGGGCCCTGGCCTGCCGCTCCTGCTACCTTCTCAGCCCCATCTCACGTGTTTTTGTCTCCGCCCTCCTCTCAAACCAGCCTCTGCCTGGGCAGGAGCTCCCTTCCTGCCCTGCACATCGGGCACCTCTGCAGGAAGCCTCCTGGATTCCTTGATGCTTCCACTGAGCTTGCTTTGCTCTCTGCAGCTGTCAAAGCCTACAGACTAGGCCACAGCCATTACCTGCAGGATCACGGTCTCTTGTCCTAACCATGTCCCCACGTCAGGGAGGCAGGGTCACGTCCTGTTCACCCCTAACTATGCCAGGACCAGCACCACTCACCATAAACCCAGGTGTAACACCTGCCCTCCCCCCACCCCACCCCACCCTGCCCCCTCCCCCGCAATCCACCTCCTCTCAGACATAAGAGGTTCCCACAGCAGTGATGGCCCTAACTGCACTAAATACCCCTAATGCCTGTTTCCCCCAAAGCTCTCCAGGCACCGCCTCACACACCCCACCCTGCGGGTGCTGCCCCCACCAGCAGGACCCCAAGTTCCTGGCAAGGCCACTTATTTGGGCCTGCGGGGTTCTGGAGGCTTCGGGAGGCAGCTTGGGGGCTGGGGGGGTGTGACCCAGATTGCAGGCGTCTCCACCAGAACATCTGGGCCGAGCCCCTTCCTCACCTTCCCACAGAGAGTTCTCATTCCTCTCACACCTGGTTCCCACGCCCAGCCAGCCCGCCCCAGCCTCCAGGTCCTCTCCCCGCCTGTGTGGCCACAGGATGGGCCTGGGCACAGGGAGCAGCAAGCGACAGGGAAGCAGATCCGTGAACACATGCGGGCACAGTCATCGGCTCTGGGAAAGGTCCCGCGATCCCGCCCGAGCTCCCGCTGCCTGCTGGCCCCTGTATCCCACCCCCAAGCCTTTCTCCCTAACCAGTCACTGTGGGGTCATTTGGACAAATATGAATCAAATACCAAGGCCCATCTCCACCCCAGCCTGGACCTCACTCACCCCTCCCCTGCTGCCTTTCCTCCCGGTCACCCCCAGCTGACCCCCCTGCCCTGCCCCCACATCCTCCCCGTGGTCCTCACGATGCTTTCAGTTCCCAAGAGTCAGACTGTCTCCCGACAGAGGCTCCAGGGCAGGGACAGCGGTGAACATGCCAATCCCACCCAAAGCCCGCAGCCTCTGTGCCCACTAAATGCTTTCGGCCCCATCCAGGGTCCCTTAGCCCAGGTGCTGGCCGACCCTCAGTGTGTGCCACCCCCCGCCCCAATCAGGACCAGGAGGGGCTCTGAGACCCACCCATGAGCCCCTGTCTGCAGCGGTGGCTCTTCCCTTTGCAGGACGTCAGGGACCACCCACCGGTGCTGCCAAGATGCTCCGAGGCTCCCGCTCCCTCCTCCTGCTCTGGGGCCTCCTGGGGACCCTGCACGCCCAGCAGCAGGAGGTCATCGCCCCAGACACATCTGAGAGAGGCAGCAACTGCCCAGGTACAGCATCAGGGGCTGGGGCTCCTGGGCCACCAGGGCCCAGCGTGCCAGGGAGGCCGGTGGGGGCAGAGCCCAGGACCATACGTGTGCACAGGATGGCTCACCACAGGCCCTCTGCGTGCAGCCCCCTGACTCCTCCCGTGTCCCCCCAGAGAAAGCCGACTGCCCGGTCAATGTGTACTTCGTGCTGGACACCTCGGAGAGCGTCACCATGCAGTCCCCCACGGACAGCCTGCTCTACCACATGCAGCAGTTCGTGCCGCAGTTCATCAGCCAGCTGCAGGACGAGCTGTACCTGGACCAGGTGGCCCTGAGCTGGCGCTACGGCGGCCTGCACTTCTCCGACCTGGTGGAGGTGTTCAGCCCTCCGGGCAGCGACAGGGCCTCCTTCACCAAAGGCCTGCAGAGCATCCGCTCCTTCCGCCGCGGCACCTTCACCGACTGCGCGCTGGCCAACATGACCCAGCAGATCCGGCAGCACCGGACCAACGGCGCCGTCAACTTCGCCGTGGTCATCACCGATGGCCACGTCACGGGCAGCCCGTGCGGCGGCATCAAGATGCAGGCCGAGCGGGCCCGCGAGGAGGGCATCCGGCTCTTCGCCGTGGCCCCCAACCGGAACCTGAACGAGCAGGGCCTGCGGGAGATCGCCAGCACGCCCCACGAGCTCTACCGCAGCAACTACGCCACCATGCTGCCCGAGTCCACCGAGATCGACCAGGACACCATCAACCGCATCATCAAGGTCATGGTGAGTGAGCGGCCGCAGCGCCCCCTCCTCCCAGCACCGCTGTCTACCCGCTGGGGGTGGGGTGGGGAGTGGGGTGCAGAGCCCTGGGACCTGGTCCCTGGGCGTCAGGGCCCCCTCGGTGAACGGAGGGGGTGAGTTTCGGTCAGGGCCCTGCCTGCTCCGATGTCCCGCTTTCTCTGCTGGATGCGGAGCTGCCCGATCGCCAGCCTGTGGCTAACCAGCGTTTCTCTCTGTCTTTTCTGCAGAAACATGAGGCCTATGGAGAGGTGAGAGGCATTTCTGTCCATGCCAGCCCCGCTGCCGGGTGTGCCCCGGGGCCTCTGAGGCGCTGACCCGGCAAAGATCACACGCCTCGCCGTGCCCGCTCCCTGGCACTCCCCGGAGATGAGGGAGAGAGACCCCTGTGCTCCGTGTAGGGCCTGAGTTTGGGACAAAGGGCTTCTGACCGAAGCAGGCTGTCTAAAAACCCAGGAGGTCGGCGTTAGGGTCCTTGGCTCAGCACACGCCAAGTGGATGAGCGTTGAGTTTGAAGGTGGCTCTCTGGACTGAGGGCTCCATCCGCCTGAGCCAGTCCAAGAGAAGATGGGTGGCGGTTGGGTGCCCAGCCCAGGATCTGCAGCCCTGGGTCCCTGCCATTGCCCCGCTCCTGTGCATCCCAGCTCACGGCCCAGGACAGAGTGCTTCCCACTCAGCGAGGCTCCTGCGAGCACACCCTCCCCCCCTCCAGAAAGCTGCTCACAACACGTGTTGCTACTGTCAGTCATTGCTCAGCCCAGCCTCCATTTCCAAAACTTGACTAGAGCCTATGGAGAGCCATACCTCCCAAGCCTGGTCCTTTATCCAGCCCCGTGCTGGGGACAGCCCACCCCCAGCAGGCCGGGGACCCGGGCAGTATCCTCCCTCCATCTCTCCCTCCCTCTCAACTGGGACCCATCATTCTGGCCTCCCTTCCTTCTTGTTTCAGTGCTACAAGGTGAGCTGTCTGGAGATCCCTGGGCCCCCTGGCCCCAAGGGCTACCGCGGACAAAAGGTAAGCTACCCCGACTCCCTGGGGTCTGCCCTGCCAGGAAGCCCCCGCCCGCTCTTAAACTATGAATTCAGGGCCCGCTAAAAACTCCATGGGCCCCACACTTCTGACCCTGAAGGAACTAAGGTTCCGTTTTTATCTGCTTGCTTTTCCATGGCATCTTGAGAAGAGTAGGGATGCTTTTTTTAAGCTAAGGTTTTCCATGAAAATACTCTTATAAAGTAAACAAGTTGGTGTCTTGAGCAGGGTGCCCTCGAGGTGGGTGCTGCAGAGGCCTGGCGGGTGCCCCCCCCCCCCCCGCCCCGGGGCTGTCCGTCGGAGCTCAGAGAAACAGGACCCAACGGGCCTGGCTGGCAGAGGCCAGGGTCCTCAGGGGCAGCTGGCCCTACGCTAGGACGCCTCCATGTGGCCTTGCTGTTGTCACCTCGGTGGGACCAGCAGCCAAGTCACTCTAACCCTGAGACTTACCGTATTTTTCGGACCATAAGACGCTCCGGACCATAAGACGCACCAGTTTTTAGAGAAGGGAAATGAAGAAAAAAAGATTCTGAAACAAATAGTGTCCTAAAATATTTTATGTGCATTAAAACCCACATCACAGTCATAAACACATGTAATCAACCCTGTAAAGTAAACAGCAGCATTTAGAACCATTTTAGAGCCGGGCAAGCACACAGAGACCACACAGAGCCGGGCAAGTAAAAAAACTTTTTTTTTAAAGTATATGTGTAGGCTATATTTGGACCATAAGACGCAGGGACTTTTTCCCCCCACTTCTGGGGAAAAAGTGCGTCTTATGGTCCGAAAAATACGGTACTCTTACGCCTCCCAGAAGCCAGTGACAGGGTCCCCGGTGGCCCACCGTGCCCCTCCCTGCCTCGGTTTACCGCTTTTGTGTTGTCTGCTTGCAGGGCGCCAAGGGCAACATGGGGGAGCCTGGAGAGCCGGGACAGAAGGGCCGACAGGTGAGTGTCCCCCCCACCCGCTGCAGCAGCTCCCGCTCTCCAGGCTGAGGTGACACCCACGGCCCTTTGTTCTTTTCCCACAGGGGGACCCAGGCATTGAAGGACCCATCGGATTCCCAGGACCCAAGGCAAGTTGCCCCTGGCCCTGGCCCTGGCCCTGCCCCAGGGACGGGGGTGGTGGGGACAAGCCCAGGGCTGCCCGGCTCCAGGTGGGGCCAGCCCATAGGGTCGAGATGTCTCTGGCCCAGCAAGCCCTCTCCCCCTCTCCTCCCGACCCAGGGACGTGAAGCTCCATTCTGAGTGTTGACTCCAAACCTAGCGTCCAGCCCGAGCCCCAGGCAGGCCTCCCTGCCCAAGGCCCCCGGCCACCGCCCGCTCTGGTGGCCTGCTGGGGTCCCGTGCACACGGCCAGCCATAACACTGCTTTTCTTTCCTTCCGACCTCAGGGTGTTCCCGGTTTCAAAGGAGAGAAGGTGAGATTCCGAGTCTGAGCAAGCCAGACTGCCCATGGCCTCCGCGTGAGCCTCGGCCCCAACTCCCCAGGGTCCTCAGCAAACCTGCCTGTGGCTCCTGCTGGGGGCACGATGGGCTTCGTGTCGGTGGTGGCCTTGGTCCGGGGTCCTCCTGGCCTCGTCTGTGGCCGAGGGCAGGCGTGGGTCCCTGAGGCAGCGAGTCTGTGATGCTGGAGACCTGAGCTAACGGCCTCACTTTGCTTCTGCAGGGAGAATTCGGAGCTGATGGGCGGAAGGTAAGCCAGGCGGTGGGCTGGGCGAGCAGGGCACTCCCCCTTCCTGCTGCTCCAAGGGGATAACAATCAGGGCTGACGAGAGTCCCCTCTTCCTTCTCCCCCCAGGGAGCCTCCGGCCTGGCCGGCAAGAACGGGACCGATGGACAGAAGGTAGTGCTCCAGGGCCTGTGTCCTGGGCTGCGCATGAGGGTCGTGCACGGCGGTGTCTCAAATAGAAGAATGAGCAGAACATTTTCATTCCCTCCCTAGACCTGGCCCACTGGCCACTGCCCACAATCTGTGGCTTCAGCACCCCACTTTTACCTGTTCAGGGGGTGCAGGACAAACGAGGGCCTTACAAGAGCACGGATAGACATTTGCTTCTGAACACCAAGGCCAAGCCTTGCAGCAACTTCCAAGTCTATTCTGCAGAACTTCAGAATGGCCTGAGTGACAGTTCACACACATGCACACATGTACCCAAGCATCAAGTGCACTCACGCATGCATACAGGCATGCACACACATGAAAGGGGCACTGTGGACACTCGTGCTCACAGCTGCAGCCAGGGACTCTCCCACCTCCATAGAGATGCCATCGTAACTTTCAAGCCATTAAAGTGCACAGTTGCATGCGTGTGCCCACCGGGTAGAGACCAGCATGGACTTTGCCTCCACTCACACCTGTCATTGGTGCATCGTTCCCTGAACCTCGCCCCTCACACCTCTGCTCCCCTCTCGTCTTTCAGGGCAAGCTGGGGCGCATTGGACCCCCTGGCTGCAAGGGAGACCCCGGGAGTCGGGTAAGCATGGCCTTTGCTCCTCCTCAGATTAAGGTTAAATCCCTTCGAGGCACCAGGTACCAGGTGGGTGTGGGGAAGCTGGGAGTCCCTGGGAGTTCCTTCAGCCCTGGCCTGCCCATCCCCTACTCCCCAGGATCAGCCTGGGCTGGGCCCCCAACAGGACGACATGGCCTCTGGGGCCTCCCAGAGTCCTGAGGAGCTCGGCTCTGATGTCTGTCTGAGTGTCCTCCTGCCCAGCCCCGGTGGATTCTGGCCACCGAGGCCCAGGCAGAGCATCCAGTTCAGACATTGCAAGGGACACTGGTCACCCTCCCCATGTCAGCGGAGCCTGGGCTAATGGGGAAACCCCAAGTGCAGCTTGCAGCCAGAGACCCAGGACAGCCTCTCTCCCCCTTCCCTCACAGGGCCTCGACGGCTACCCAGGGGACGCAGGCAGCCCTGGGGAACCCGGAGACCAAGGTGCCAAGGTAGGCGGCCTAGCCAGGGTGGCAGCGGCCAGAGCAGCCCTCCAGGTGGCCTTCTCCCTGCTGCAGTGCCTGCCTCTGGGGGAGGCATCTGGGCCGAGAAGTACAGCGGAGGGGACCTGTCCCCGCAGACCCGGCAGTCAGGGGGAGGAGTCTTGGGGGTGTCCTGGAGGCTGTGGGTGCCCAGGCTGAGGGGGTGGTAGGGTGCCCTCCTGGGGCTTCAACAGCTCCTGTCTACCTCGGAACCGTGTGTCCCCGCTCAGGCTGCGGGTGCCTGAATGGCCATAGCAGCAAGCCCACCTCCTCACAGGCCTCCAGGGGGCTCCTGTGGAGGGCTCTCAGGTGCCTTGGGGTTCTGCCTCTTAGGCCACTTGAGGCACCTGCCCACACCCACTCCCCTGGCTGCCCAGGACCCTGGAGGCACGCACAGACAAAGCCCGTGTCCGATTAATTCCCCCGGAGCTGCACGGGGGCCCTGCCTCCCAGGAGCGTGCTCCGCCTACGGGGGAGGGGAGGCACGGGCCCCCAGCGCCTCCAGAGTCCTGCCCCAGGGCCAGCATCCGAGGGCTGTGACACTGATTTCTCCAAACCCTTCCAGGGGGACGCTGGCCGCCCAGGACGCAGAGGGCCCCCAGGAGAGGACGGGGCCAAGGGAAGCAAGGCAAGTGCCCCCGAGGGTCCCTGCTGACCTGCCCCAGCCACACGCCAGCAGTGCCCGCCGGACCCACCGCGGTGGGAAGCAGCAGGGACAGCCCAGGCCCTGAGCCGGCCACCAGCCTCTCTGCCCCACCGCCAGGCCGCGCCTGCTGAGGGGGCCGGGCCCTGCTTCCTGGCTGAGCCGCCCCCTCTCCGCAGGGCTATCAAGGCAACAACGGAGCCCCGGGAAGTGCCGGCGTGAAAGGAGCCAAAGGCGGGCCCGGGCCCCGGGGGCCCAAAGGCGAGGCTGTGAGTTCACACCCCCCAGTCCTCCCCCCCAGGTTCTCCAGGCCCCCCAGGCCCCCCAGGCCCCTCAGGCCCTTCAGGCCCAAGGCCCAGAGCACCTGCCAAGCCGCCTGCCCAGCCCCCCCGGCTGTGCCCTCCTCTCTGAGCCCGAGGGGTCACCCTCCGGGACCCTCTGCAGCAGAGGAAGGGCTCAGCCGCCCCCTGCCGGTCACTCAGTGCTCATGAGGGGCCCAGTGTCCCCACCTTGCCCTCCTGGCAGGGCACCTCTGAGGGCTCAGTGTAAACCTGGACACTCGCTCCATAGGTCCCATACAGCATCCTCAGGCCCCGGCCAGCCTGAAGGGCCCAGCCCAGGGCTGATCCTCCAGGGGGGGTGTGTCCTGAGGCCTGGCCTGGCCTGGCAGGGGCTGAGTGACTACGCCCATAGCCAGTCCAAGCCCGGTTCCAGTCAGCCCACTGAAACCCACCCGGGACCGACAGCTGGCCAGGAGCCCTCCCTCATTTCCTCAATCCTCGGCCGGGACCAAACCCCCTGGCAGAGAATGAGGATCTGGGCTGAAACCCTCTGGAGGGGCCTCCGGAACCCAAAGGCCAGAGTCCTCCGGGGTGGAGGGTGGGTCCTCCTGCGGCCCCCACCCACACACCCACTCTCTGCAGGGGCGCAGGGGAGACCCTGGCACCAAGGGCAGCCCGGGCAGCGAGGGCCCCAAAGGCGAGAAGGTGAGTGTTCGTGTCGGGGAAACGAGGGGCCATAGCCACGTCTGCCTCTGCACGGGGTCCTCATGGTGGTGCTGATGGCACCCCGTGACAGGGGAGAGCAGAAGGGACCCGGGGCCTCTGTCAGGGGGACGCGGTCTGGGAAAGCAGGCAGCAGCCAGGGTGGCCCCACCTGCCCTGCCTGCTGGGGCACAGGGGCGAGGGGTGGGGGGGAGAGGGGGGCAGGGCAGGCATAGCTGTGCAGGCTGCGGGCTGCTCCTCCCGGCACCTGCCACACGCCCTCCCGGAGCTGGTGCAGAGGTCCTGTCTGTGTGATAACTCCGAGTTTCCTGGGAGCTGCGAGAAGGGCTTAGAAGCAGGGCACATGGGGACCCCTGCCCTGAGGGGCTGAGCAGGCAGGGCTGCTATTTCAGTCTCCCCCGTCCCCCAACCTGGGGTCCTCTCCAGGCAGTTTAATGGCCCCCTCCTTTCCCTCCTTCCCACTCCCCCCCCCCCACACACACACACACCACAGATAACTGGGCCTCTCTTCTCACAGGGGGACCCTGGCCCCGAGGGACCCCGGGGCCTGGCTGGAGAGGTTGGCGGCAAAGGAGCCAAGGTAAGTGGGTGGCAGGCGGCACCCAGCACCCTGGCTGGAGGGGGCTGAGCCCGGGACCCCCTGTCCTTCCCTCCCTGCGGACCCTGCCAGGTCTGCAGCCAGGGCTGAGGACCGAGGCCATGCCAGGACCGCCTGGGGAGCAGTGCACTCCCCACCCTTCACCGTCTACAGTGCTGATGACAGGGTCTCTCTCTTTCCAGGGAGACCGCGGCATGCCTGGACCCAGAGGCCCCCCTGGGGCTCTGGGGGAGCCTGGGAAGCAGGTCAGTGGCAGGACACCAGGGAGGGGCCTGCGGTTCTGGGACTCAGGCCCCCGTCTGTCCTTCAACCTCAGTGTCTCAAACTCAGGCCAAGGGTCCCTGTGCCCCTCACATCCTGGCCCTGCCCTGAGGGGTCCAGCTTCACCAGGTCAGGGTGGTAAGCCAGAAGCAGAGGTGGGGCCTGGGAGCCCCGAGGGGGCATGTGGAAGAGGGGGCACCGGGCAGTGACCCTGAGGCCAGCTGGGGAGCAGGGCAGTGTTGCCTGGTGGTCAGAGCCAGACGTAGTCAGTCTGCTTGTGCCAACTCCTCGCTTCCTCTCTGATCACAGGGATCTCGGGGAGACCCCGGTGATGCTGGTCCCCGCGGAGACTCTGGACAGCCTGGCCCAAAGGTACACCCCCTCCTGCCTGGATTGGGAAGAGGTGGGGGAGGGTTAGGCTGTTCTCGGCTCTAGCATGAGGCTGCCTGGAGTGTGCCTGCCAGCCCTGGGTGTGGGAGGACGGAAGGGGGCCAGGCAGCCCTCCCGTCCTCACCCTGGGGGTGGCACACTCTCCCCAAAGCCCCGTCCAGCCAGACCGGCCGCCCAGACCCCTGGGCCTCGGTCCATGCCGACTGTTCCCATTTCCCTCTGGACCTGCCCTGACTGCGCCCCCCCCCCTTCCTTCCTCCAGGGAGACCCCGGCAGGCCTGGATTCAGCTACCCAGGACCCCGAGGAGCGCCTGTGAGTCGGGGCGTGGGATCGGAGCCCCCGGGAGGGGTGGGCGTGGCCGGGAGGGCCCTGAGGATTCCCTCTAGTTCCCGGGAGGGGCCTCCCCACGGGGCACAGGGTGCGAGGGGCTTGGAAGTCACCGCCCAGGCAGCATTCGCCCACAGACTGTGACAACTGAGACCCCCGGGAGGGAGGGGGGGAGGCAGCAGAAAACCCCCAGGTCCCCAGCTGTGCCCCAGGGGTCAGCACTTCAGCTCTCGGGGGTCTGTGCTGAGTCCCCCCACCTGTGCTTTCTTCCAGGGAGAGAAAGGCGAGCCGGGCCCACCTGGCCCCGAGGTATGGAGGGGCCCCTCTGCACCTGCCCTCACCCCTCACCCCAGGCTTGGCACCCGCCGCTGCCCATGCTGAGTGCTGAGTGTGGTCGCCAGCTGGCTGAGGGCTAGTCTCTCTCAAACCAAAACCCGTGCTCACCCGGAACGCCCTGTGCTGTTGCCACCTCACTGACCCCAGAGCCAGGCACCTGTGTCCCCGGAAGACCCACTGGAGGCCTCCGGAGACTGGGAAGGGGGGCGGGGCAGGCAGAGCTCTCCCATGTCCTCCGCCGGGGCTAACCTGTGTCCTGTGTCCCAGGGCGGCAGAGGCGACTTCGGAGTGAAAGGAGCATCTGGGCGGAAAGGAGAAAAGGGCGAGCCTGTGAGTGTCCTCCTTGTCCCTCCTCCCTCCAACTTTCCCAGCCCTCCTACTCCCTTCTTATCCTTCCTCCTCCCTCCTCCTCTCTCCTCATCCCTCCTCCTCTCTCCTCATCCTTCCTCCTCTCTCCTCCTCCCTCCTCATCCTAGACGCAAGGGGAGTGTATAGATATTTGCTGAGCCGACCTGCTTTTTTCCCTTCTCAGGCAGATCCTGGTCCCCCTGGTGAGCCAGGCTCTCGGGGGCCGAGAGGAACCCCAGGACCCGAGGTAGGTCTGTTCCCCGTCCATAGGGCCCTCAGGCCATAGCCTCTGGGCCAGTCAGGCCAACACAAACCCTGAGCCACAGGGCTCTGCCTGTGGTGGAAGCCCAGAGTCCAGTGCAGGGACCACCTCTCACGGTCATCCTTCTCCTCCAGGGAGAGCCTGGACCCCCCGGAGACCCCGGCCTCACGGTAGGTACCAGCTGGGGATGGAATCCCTGTCCTCACTCCTAAAACCGGAAGCAAGGACAATGTCAGAGGGCGAGGTCAGCAGGAGTGGGGCCAGTGCAAGGTCAGCAGGGGTGTTAGCATGAGGTCAGCAGGTCACAGTCAGCAGGGCAGGGTCAGCAGGGGGAGGTCAGAGGGCAAAGTCAGCAGGGGAGGTCAGCAGGAGGTAAGCCGGGCGAGGTCAGAGGCGAGGGGAGTAAGACTCCCGGCCCCCCTCGGGTTGCCTTCCTGGCTGGACTGACCCCTCTGTGTTGCAGGAGTGCGACGTCATGAACTACGTGCGGGAGACGTGTGGGTGCTGTGGTGAGTCTCAGTCCCCGCACCGGGTGGGGGGGGGGGGGGTGCTGCCGGGCTGCCCCGGCTCTCGTCCAGGAGTCAGGGTCATCGTCCAGGGGTTGGGGTCATCGCCCGGAGGTCAGGGTCATCAGAGTCCCACCCTCCCCCTGGGGGTGATGGCTTCCCACGGTGCACCGGGCTGTGCCCTCTGTCGGGGGAGCAGGGGAGGGGCTTCTGGGCCGGGGCCAGCACACACAGCCATCCCCTCTGCCGGCCCGCAGACTGTGAGAAGCGGTGTGGCGCCCTGGACGTGGTGTTTGTCATCGACAGCTCCGAGAGCATCGGCTACACCAACTTCACGCTGGAGAAGAACTTCGTCATCAACGTGGTCAACAGGCTGGGGGCCATCGCCAAGGACCCCAAGTCCGAGACGGGTCAGCTGCACCCTCGGGGGCCGGGGGGCAGGACACCCGGGGCAGGACACCCTGACACCCAGCCCTGGGAGGGATGTGAGCTCGGCCAAGGGTCCCACGGCCCCCCTTGAGGGTGGTGTGCGCGTGGGGCGAGGCGGCCAGCCTCTCACGCTCTCACCGCCCCCCCTCCCCAGGGACCCGAGTGGGCGTCGTGCAGTACAGCCACGAGGGCACCTTCGAGGCCATCCAGCTGGACGACGAGCGCATCAACTCGCTGTCCAGCTTCAAGGAGGCGGTCAAGAACCTCGAGTGGATCGCGGGCGGCACCTGGACGCCCTCCGCCCTCAAGTTCGCCTACAACCAGCTCATCAAGGAGAGCCGGCGCAAGAAGACCCGCGTGTTCGCCGTGGTCATCACGGACGGCCGGCACGACCCCCGGGACGACGACCTCAACCTGCGGGCGCTGTGCAACCACGAGGTCACGGTGACGGCCATCGGCATCGGCGACATGTTCCACGAGAAGCACGAGAGCGAGAACCTCAACTCCATCGCCTGCGACAAGCCCCAGCAGGTGCGCAACATGACGCTGTTCTCCGACCTGGTGGCCGAGAAGTTCATCGACGACATGGAGGACGTCCTGTGCCCGGGTGAGCGGCGCCGGGGCTCCCCCCGCGGCCCCCCGCCCGCCCCCCGGCCTGCCCAGCCCTTGTCCCTGCAGGCGGGGAGAGCACCCCGGGAGGGCAGGTGTCTGTGGGCCACCGAGGGGCCCAGCCCGCCCTGGACTGGACAGCGGAGCCTGACCAGGCCCCCTGGCCTCCTTTCCTCTCTCCTAGACCCCCAGATCGTGTGCCCGGACCTCCCCTGCCAAACAGGTAACACGGGGAGCCACCGAGCACCCCCCAGACTAGCAGTGACGGGGGCCCTGGAGGACCTTGCAAGGAATGCAGTGTGGGGGCCCCTCCTTAGGGAGGCCCTTGGGTGTCTCAACCCCCTGGACCTCAGCATGTCTGAGAAGGGGGTTGGGGGGTGGGGGGGCAGGGTTTGGTGACTCCAGAGCTTTTGCTGTCCCCCCACCTGGCACATGTCGGGAGGGGTGCTAAGGGCCTGGGCCTGCACCTGGTGCCAGGTGCTCGGGCCTGCAGATCCCCCTGCCCAGGGGAGAGGCAGACACCAGGGTCATGCCCCCCACCGCCCTGGCCACCACGGTGAAAGCCCCAGATCCCGTAAAGGAAATGGCTCATTTAAAACCTTCTGGGAGGTGAACTCAGGCTGATGGCTCCCTGAGGCCCTGCGGGCTCATCTATCGTCTCTCCTGTTTCGGGGACCCCCCTCCCCACAACTGGTGCATTGTGTGCGTGGCTGGGCCCTGGAGGCACTGAGAGGCTGTCCCCAGGGGTCCCTCAAAAGAGCACTGTCACTGTGCTGGGCATCATGCTGCCACCTGTGCCCCAGGGGTGGCAGGAGCTGAGCCCGTGCTGGCAGTCCGGGCGTCCGCCGGCCTGGGTGTGGAGCCGTGGCTGGCCCCTCCCGCTGTGATAGGGCACCTGCCTGTGCCCTCCCAGGAGCCGTGAGGTGGGGCTGGAGCTGGCTCTGGAAGGCGGGGCTGGGTAGAGGGGCGGGGCCGTGTTGGCAGGCTGGCAGAGGGCACCCACATCTGGGTGTACGCTGGGCTTGTGCGCAGGCTCCTGGCCCAGTAGCCAGGGCCCACCAGGCAGGTTTGAAGGTGCCAAGGTGCCCTCGGGAAGGATGAGTCGGGGACCAGGGTTCCCACTTATTCTGACAGAGAACTTTCAAGGAAGTGCTCATGGAAGTCGTGCCTGTGACCAGCTGTGGAGTCATTCAGAGACCGCCTGGGTGTGGGGTCGCTGTGGGAACGGCTGTGTGTGGTGGCCAGACCCTCCCCCCCCGAAACCCTCCCGGGGTGTGTCCCGTAGTAAATGGGACCCCTCTAGGCCAGAAACCAGACCCCCAGCCCCCGGGGCCCAGGCCAGGCAGTGGCCCAGCATCCTCGCCCGGCCTGAACCTGCGTTCCATGCCAACGGAGGCCTTTATAGCTGCCCCGACTGCCCTGAGGACGGTCCCTCACTCCGGGGGGCTCAGTCCTCCCGGGAAGGAGCGGCTTTGTCAGGTGACCTCTCTGGTCACAGATACAATCCATCGGGAGCTGCTTCTTCAGCCTGTTGCTGTAACAGGTGGTTTTCGAAGGTTGAACCAGCCTTGCAGGCCAGGGGCAAACCCCACTTAGTCACAGAGTACCGTTTTTTGTTATTTTTTTTTTTTTATATGTTGTTGGATTCTATTTGCTGATATTTTGTGGATTTTTTGTTATCTCATGGGCCTTTCTTGTGATGTCCTTGTCTGGTGTCAGCGTTCGACGCTGGCCCTCAGGATGGTGACCTCCCTTCCCCTCGAGGACCTGACAGAGAAAAGGAAGGGGCCCCTGGAAGACCTCTCCATGCCCTCTTCTAACTTCCCCCCTAGAACTGAACTCAAACTCACCCTCCTCTAAAGCAACTAGACATTTCCAAGTAAGATAGACATTGAGACCAGAGAAAAGAAATCAGACATAATTATAGAATGTGCCGTGACATGAGGCAGAGGGGGGGAGGGGGGACAGGACTCGAGACTGCCACCAGGTGGGCACTGTCCTCGGCATTTTGGGACTATAGACAGGCACTGGGGTGAGGCTGCCACCTCTTGCATGGCCCTGACCTTCAGGCCAAGCGGCCCTGTCCACCCAGAGGCCATGCCTGGTTGTGTCAGGACCACAAGACAGTCAAAGAGAAGCCAAGCTGGGCTCCGGGTAAAAGCAACAAAGACGGATCTCATTCCGAGGTCGCTACGGCAGGAGAGGAGGTCCAGGGCAACCTGAGTCCCACGCACCCCAAACAGAGGCAGGGGACTGGCTAACGGCCGCTGCACAGAGGCCTGGGGAGGGGGAGGGGGTCCCTGTGACCGAGCCCCCTGGGTGTGTTGACTGGCACACACGCAGGAGAGAAACAGACCTCTCAAACCTTTAGGACCGGCGGCCACGGTACACGTGGGCTCTTTAAGATGCCCATGGAAGTGAGATCCTGCCCCCCAGGGGCTGGGAGTCAGAGCGGGAGTGTCCCTGGGTGTTTGCTGCTCCTGGTCCTCGAGGGGACGGTTCTGGGAGGGGGGATCTATGTCCCCAAGGGCAGAGAATGTCTTGTAACTGCAAGCTCTCTACCGTAACTGTGCCCAGAGGGTCCTGTCACCAGGTTTTTCGCTGCAGCAGACTAAGTTCTCATGGCAGCGTGGAGCCTTTTAAGGAGCTGGGTCATCGAGGGCAGGGCCTTGAGCGGTCAGCAGCCACGCTGGCATCGGGTCAAGTCTCAGTGCAGCTGTTGGGGCCAAGAGTCGTGTTGTTCTAAGGCCCGTGGGGACCAGAGGCCTTCTCTCCCATCTCCTCGGCATGCGCCCGCTGCTGGCCCCAAAGCCCTTTGAGCCCTGGCACCGCGGTGACCTGGTCTCCTCGCTCCACCCCGGCCGAGCCTCCGCCTCGTCCCTGGCTTCAGTCCCAACTCGTCTCCGCGGAGAGAAGCCCGAGGAGGGCGGCTGGAGGCCGCTCGCGCGGGCCGAGTCCCTGAAAGCCTTCTCTGGATGCCCGCAGATGGACCGCGGCCTGGCGATGCGCCCCCGGTCACCTTCCTCCGCACGGAAGAGGGCCCGGACGCCTCCTTCCCCACGACCATCCCCCAGATCCAACAGTTGCTAAACGCCACGGAGCTCACGCAGGACCCGGCCGCCTACTCCCGGCTGGTGGCCGTGCTGGTCTACACCGCCGAGCGGGCCAAGTTCGCCACGGGAGGCGAGCGGCAGGACTGGATGGAGCTGTTCATTGACACCTTTAAGCTGGTGCACAGGGACATTGTGGGCGACCCCGAGACCGTGTTGGCGCTCTGCTGAAGCCACGGGGTGCTGGTGCTCGGTGCTCCAGAGGCCGGGGCTGCCCCAGCTGGGCCGCGTTCGCTCCCGGGCTGCCCGCGTGCTGGGGGCTATGGAAGTCAGGCACCAAAATCAAGGTGTCGTCAGGCCCTCGCTTCCTCTACCCCCAGCTAGGGGGCTCCAGGGAAGGCCCTCCCAGCTCCCAGCTCCCAGCTGCCTGCTCCCAGCTGCCTGCTCCCAGCTGCCTGCATGGTCACATGGCCTCGCTCTGTAGTCTAGCCTTCCTCTGCTCCCTTGTAAGGACACAGGTGGCATTTAGGGCCGACCAGAGAGCCTTGGACAACCTCCCATCTCAAGGTCTTACGTTAGGCCCATCTGCAAAGCCCCGTGTTGCCACATACAGTCACATCTGCAGGCTTCCAGACTAGGATGTAGGCATCTTTGCGGGACGGTATGACCACACCCCCACCCCCACCCCCCATCTAGCTGAGCTGCCTCACACATTTAGGGGACGTAAGAGTCACCCATTAGGGCAAACCTGCCAAAGCAGCTGGCAGACAGTGAGGAATGGGCCACAGACACCACCTCCTTGTCCTCCTGCCCCAGGCCCTCTAAGGGTTGGGACGCCCTCTAAGGGCGGCTGAAGCATGTACAGACCCATGGGTGCCCGCTCCCCAGAAACCTGATTAATACAGAGAAGCCCTCGTCCTTGGGCCCTGTCACTGCTCCTGCCTGTGCCCCCTCCCGATTCCCAGGGGCAGGGTCTCACCTCCCTGCCGCTCAGGCTCCCTGCCGTGGGTGGGGGTCAGCAGAGGGAAAGAAGGGGAACAGCAGAGCTCCCCTAAACACCCGCCACTCCTGGTTCAGCTTCCGGCCTCTGTGTCCAGGCACCCCTGGTTGAGGAAAACTTCCCGAAAACCAGACACACACACACACACACACACACACACACACACACATACCTGCCTGCTTGTAGGACTTGAAGTCAGGGCACCCGGAGAACCGGGTGTGTTTAAAGAAGAAGCTGCTATTCGTTTGCACTGCCAACAAGATAAGCTACGTCATTCATAAGCTCCTTAAGAAAGCATCCTGTCCGCTGGCGCCCGGCACCGCTCGGTGACACACCCGGGGAGGGGGTGTCCCTCAGGGGCTGTGAGCACGCCTTCAACGTCTTATAAAAGCTGAAAAACAGATCGTGAAGACCTCGCTGTGGCCGAGTGCTGTGCTGGGGACCTGCTGCTGGCTGGGCTGGTCCACAGCCGTCACCTATCTGTGTGGGTGGGCGCCACCCCAGAGCCAGGCCCTGGGCTGAGGCCTCGGGCATTGGTGCTGCGGGTCAGGCCCGCCTTCCTGATGGGCCTCCTGAGCAGCCGGCCCCCGGGGGGGGCATCCTGGGCGGTGAGAGAATCCTTGCTGGTCCACGTCCCGGAAGGGTGCCTGAGGGGCAGAGGTCTCCAGGAAGGTAAGGTGACCAGACGTCCCGCTTTTGGCGGGACAGTCCCGATTGTTAACAATTTGTCCCGCGTCCCGCGGTGTTTTTAAAAAGGACTTTTTTAAAACTCCACGAAACGCGGGACAAATTGTTAAAAATCTAGACATCTGGTCACTTTACACAGGAAGGCCTTGAGGCAGGAGCCGGGCTGCATGTCTGTGGCAGGTGGTCCATGTGTGTGGGGAGTGGGTTTCAGGCTGCGTGTGGTGCTTATGCCCCCCCAGAGGCCCAGCCTCCATCCCGGCGGCAGCTTTCCCCCTGTCATCCAGCAGGTCCAGGGCTGCTCACTGCCCAGAGGGGACAAGGGTCTCCTCAGGTCACAGTGAGTCAGTCACCTAGGCCAGTGGTCGGCAAACTGCGGCTCTGTTGACTAATGAGTTTGCCAACCACTGACCTACCTAGACTCTCGATTCCAATAATTACAGGCTGTTCACGTTCCTTGTGATTAAGCCGGCAAACTCATTTAGTCAACAGAGCCAAGTATCAACAGTACAACAATCGAAATTTCTTTTGAGAGCCAAATTTTTTAAACTTACAACTTCTATAGTCACTTCTTCGAAATAGACTTGCCCAGGCCGTGGTATTTTGTGGAAGGGCCACACTCAAGGGGCCAAAGAGCCACACGTGGCTCGAGAGCCACAGTTTGATGATGATGGACCTAGGCTACCGCAGGGGCCTGGCCACACCCCCACCAAAGCCTTGTCCACTCAGAGGAGGCCAAGGGGGCGGGAGTCACAGCCATAGGTGGATCCTTGCATCCAAGGTCTCCAGGGCCAGGGTCTTCACAAGGTCTTTTTACCTAATTACAGACATGATGACAGCCTCCTGCCCCTCTCTCCCACCCCCACTTCCCCGTGCCCTGTGGACGGTGGCCCTTTGGGGGCATCCGATTCTTGGGCTTTGCTGACCCTTCCTGCCTGGAGGGCCTGGAGGAGGCACCTGGCGGAGATGGTGCTTGTAGGGTGGAAAGGGCCTTCCATCCTCACATTTCCTCGTGGGGGCCACAACCAAGAAAGATAATGAGGGTCTGAGGAGACAGTGTGGGGCTGTGCGCCCCCACCAGGTGACTTTGGGGACAGCCCCCCGAGCTCCGGCTGTTCCTGTGGCTCCGGTGGGCGGGCGCATTGGAGGGACACGGTGCAGGGTGTGGCAGAGCTGGCTCCACTGGAGAAGGGGACGCGGCCTGGGTGGGTCGTGGCAGGCACCGAGGGGCTGGGCCAGGGCGGGGCTGGTGAGGGCCTCGCCTGGGTCGCCCCTGCCCACCACCCCTGTCTCCCCCCCCTCCCCCCAGAGCTGTACGTGGCCCAGTGCACCCAGCGGCCCGTGGACGTGGTCTTCCTCCTGGACGGCTCCGAGCGGCTCGGGGAGCAGAACTTCCACAAGGCCCGGCGCTTCGTGGAGGAGGTGTCCCGGCGGCTGACCCTGGCACGCAGGGACGACGACCCGCTCAACGCCCGCGTGGCCATGCTGCAGTTCGGGGGGCCCCGCGAGCAGCAGGTGGCCTTCCCACTGACCTCCAACCTGACGGTCATCCACGAGGCGCTGGAGGGCGCCCGCTACCTCAACTCCTTCTCCCACGTGGGCACGGGCATCGTGCACGCCATCAACCAGGTGGTGCAGGGGGCGCGGGCCGGGGCGCGCCGCCACGCCGAGCTGTCCTTCGTGTTCCTCACGGACGGCGTCACGGGCAACGACAGCCTGGACGAGGCCGTGCACTCCATGCGCAAGCAGAACGTGGTGCCCACCGTGGTGGCCGTGGGCGACGACGTGGACGTGGACGTGCTCTCCAAGATCAGCCTGGGCGACACGGCGGCCGTCTTCCGGGAGAAGAACTATGACGGCCTGGTGCAGCCCGGCTTCTTCGACAGGTTCATCCGCTGGATCTGCTAGCGCCCCACCCGCCCCGGCGGGCGCCCCCAGCCCTGCGGGCTCTGTCCTCCTGGCCGTGGTGCTACTCGGATCCCGCCGAGAGAGGCGCGGAGCGCTGCGGACTCCACCTCTCCGGGCGTGGGTGTAAAGCCAGGAGTGGAGCGCCCCTCCCCACCCAGTTCTTCCCTGCAGCCCTGGCGCCCTCCGCCCCTCCTCTCTGTCCCGAGACACCCTACTCTCCACACCCTTCCTGGTCCCCAGAGGCTTCCCGGGCCCTCGTCAACAGGCCCATTTCCCCCGCAGCCCAGTGCCATCCCTGGGCTCTCATCCACCTTGCAGGGCCCCCAGAGGCTCTCTGCCAGCCCTCCTGGCCCAGCTCCCAGGCCTCCGCCTCACCTCGGAGGGCCATGACCCCATCAGACAGAGCTGTGACAGCAGGCCCGCCATGTCCCTGTATGCACACACCTCAGTCCAATAAAGGCTTTGAACCACCGCCTGCTCCCCACCTCCTTGTGTCTGTGCCCACCGGGACCCCGCAGAAAACAACCGGACTCTCTGACCATTCACGTGCCACCAGCATTTATCACCCCAACCCCATTCCTACCCACCCACACGCACTTGCTCTGTGCATGGGGATGATGTCTGGCCTGGCCTCCTCTCATAAGCACAGGTGCTGCCTCCAGCACTGGCTGTGCACACCATCCCCACGTGCACAGACTGGATGGTCTTGTCAACCTTAAAATAATTATTTTATCAGAAAAAAAAAAATGGTCTATTTGGGAACAGCAGTTCAGGGCATGCAACTCTGGCAGACCCATAGGCAAGTCTGGAGAACAAAGGAGGGGAGCCTTCCTTTACAGAGAAAAAGGAGGAATTGGGAGAGGCCATTAGGAGCGGAAGCCCATTGGAGGAGAGAGAGCATCCAGGTGGCTTCTCATTGGTCAGGCTGTTGCTGGGCAAGGGGAAAGTCTTCCTCTTTCCTGGATAGTAAAATGGTCTTCCTGTTGCGGAGGACAAGGCAGCTTTCTTCCTGCAGGAGTCTGCAGGTGGCCGTGGTGGTCCTGCGTGAGACCTCCACCTCCAGGGCTTCCCCACGTCAATGTTTTTTGTTGTTGTTTTAATATTTTTATTGATTTTTCACAGAGAGGAAAGTAGAGGGACAGAGAGTTAGAAACATCGATGAGAGAGAGAGACATCGATCAGCTGCTTCCTGCACACCCCCCACTGGGGATGTGCCTGCAACCAAGGTACATGCCCTTGACCAGAATCGAACCAGGACCCTTCAGTCCAGAAGCCGATGCTCTATCCACTGAACCAAACCGGTTTTGGCTCCTCATATCAATGTTAATGAGGTTTCCTTGGTTCATCTTCTCAGCCTCAACCACACCTGTCTCGTCAGCTTTAGGCTGAAAACAATATCACTTGCCTGTTGGTTTGCAGGAGGCTGTGTTGTGCATAGCTAGATAGACTCTTTTTTTTTTTTCTTGGCGAACTCCATGACTTCTTGTTCGACTCCCAGTTGTTTTAAGCTCACCCTTTGGGAAGTGCCCTGTTAAACCATTGGCTCCCGCAGGCCAAATGCTCTGCTTTGGCCTTTCCCAGTTTCCTGTGGTGGCCCTAACCCAGGGCCACAGGCTGTGGCTTAACCCACAGAGACCGACTGTTTCAGCCGGCGAAGGCTCTGGCGAGGGTCTGCTCCAGGCTTCCTCCAGCTCCTGCTAGGTCCTGGATTTCTCAGTGTCACTCCATCTTCACATGCTGTTCTCTCCCCGCCCCCCGTGCATGTCTGTGCCCATACTCCCCCTTTTCATAGGGACATTTTTGGGCTAGGGCCCATCCCACTCCAGTACAACCTCATCTCAACCTAACGAATTGCAGCTGCAAAGACTCTATTTCCAAATAAGGTCAAATTCTGAGGTATCGGGGGCTAGAAATTCAACATGTGAATTGAGTCCGGAGGAGACACAGGACACGCTGACACCTGGCTCGTCCCCATGTGGGGATGACGTTCCTTTGGAGGTACTCCCATCTCTCTCATCATCCGCCTGCACAGCCTGCAGCTGGAGCAGGACTTGAAACCAAGCATTTTCTCTTCCTTTGCCCCTTTTTCCTCCCACCAAAGAACCGTACAAAACGCCAGCGAAAGAAAGAGAAACCTGCAGCCGCTCAGAGCCCACCACACACTCATGCCTGTGGACTTCCTGGCCGAAGGGTGGTGGGAGCACAGGCCCCGCCCTCCGTGTGTCTGCAGTTCTGCCCAGCAGACCCTGCCAGGGTCCCCTCCGTAGGGAAAAGACGTCCTCTTCTGACACTGGCCCCAGCCTTTGGCCTCTGTCGTTGTGGAAGGGATGTAAACACCCATGAGTGGGTGGCTGGGCCCCGGGAGGGCGCAGGCCAGCTCTGAGCCCCACGGAGTGAGGCCATGCTGGTGTCCGCGGAGTTCTACACTGGAGCTCCGACCTCCCAGACTCGCAGGTGTCTTCAAACTACGGCCCGCGGGCCACATGCGGCCCGCAGAGGAGTCTGATCCGGCCCGCCAGGTTTTTTGGGCAGTGAGCGCAGCCGAGGTGTTACAGTAGGAATTAGTAGTTCATATAGTCCGGCCCTCCAGCTCTCTGAGGGACCGTGATCTGGCCCCCACTTTAAAAAGTTTGAGGACCCCTGTCCCAGAGGGCCAGGGCACCAAGCCTAAGGTGACCAGACGTCCCGTTTTTGGCAGGACAGTCCCAAATTTTAACAATTTGTCCCGCGTCCCGCGATGTTTTAACAATCCAGATTTTTGGAAAGAAAATCCTCCTGGAACCCCAATCACCTGGCCGCATCCCCCCCAGC